AACTGACCTGCGCTACTGCCTGAGGGGCTCCAGCAAATGCTGCAGTGGAGACGACGCTGACGGCTCCCGTCCCGTCAGCTGCCGCTTCTAGTTGGTCATCTGTCACCTGAACCACACGATAGGTCACCTGCAGACAGAGGAGGGCATGAAGTCAGTGACCAGGAGGAGTAGGAGTCGACCTCACACAAGCCTGGTGATGCACATTCATCGTGTAGCCGTCACGCAGACGTTTCATCTTATCATATCACAATATGTGTTCTGAAGATGACAGCAGCGATCCAATCACAGCGCTGCTGGGACAGCCACCATCACTGTTCACAGCCTCTCATAAACTCTCTGATCAGAAACTCTTTGTTACCATATTTCGTGAGTTTTTTTGGTTCTGAAACTTCTCAAGTTCACTTTCAAATATTTGGGTCAAAATTTTAAAAAATAGATTTTGTTCAAAAGGTGTCAGTGACTGTCTGGAGTGAAAACAACAATCGTTGCTAATTTTGCACGTGCTTATCAATCGAATCAGTTACACTTTCACCCCACAGACCAACAGTGACACCCACGTTCAACGACCTCAGGCTGCGTGACCGCCAAAGTTGAATCTGTGGCTACAGCCTCGCTTTTAAAGAAACATAACTGGGATAGAAAGAAAATAAGATCCACAATAAATATGTCAACTGAAGAACAAAATCACTGACAGAGCAACTATATCACAACTGCCCACTCTCCACATATTTATTAAGGTCTGTCTGGCTTTGCTGTAAAGATATCCTCACATCCTTTGTGTAAAACTATGACGCCTGATCCCAGGATACTAAAATCTGTTGTCACAGCTCAGAACAGGAGTCAATTTTTCACCAACAGTAGACAGATGCTCATGCTGCTGATGGACTGCTACCTTTAGATTTTGGCTCTGTGTCTTGCTGTTGTGTCCATCTCCCTTGTATGAGACTGTTATGCTCTCACTGTGAAATTCTGGGCTGATTTACAAATTTTTCATGTTTAAAATAACAATTTGTCTGATAGCTGACGCCAAAGAGTTTTTTACAGTTTTCTCCTTTGGTTGAGGTAAACAAATAATTCTTTCTTATATAAAAATGAGCTGACATCCTTTGAAAGTTTTTCAGCTCCTGATCCAGGGACTAGAAAGAGAGAGCATATTTCTCCTGTATTGGCTTCCCTTCATTGGCTTCCTGTTAAATCCAGAATTGAATTCAAAATCCTGCTCCTCACATACAAGGTCTTAAATAATCAGGCCCCATCTTATCTTAATGACCTTGTAGTACCATATCACCCTATTAGAGCACTTCGCTCTCGCTCTGCAGGCCTACTTGTTGTTCCTAGAGTATTTAAAACTAGAATGGGAGGGAGAGCCTTCAGTTTTCAGGCCCCTCTTCTGTGGAACCAGCTTCCAGTTTGGATTCGGGAGACAGACACTATCTCTACTTTTAAGATTAGGCTTAAAACTTTCCTTTTTGCTAAAGCATATAGTTAGGGCTGGACCAGGTGACCCTGAATCCTCCCTTAGTTATGCTGCAATAGATGTAGGCTGCCGGGGGATTCCCATGATGCATTGAGTTTTTCCTTTCCAGTCACCTTTCTCACTCACTATGTATTAATAGACTCTCTGTATTGAATCATATCTGTTATTAATCTCTGTCTCTCTTCCACAGCATGTCTTTTATCCTGTCTTCCTTCTCTCACCCCAACCGGTCGCAGCAGATGGCCGCCCCTCCCTGAGCCTGGTTCTGTCGGAGGTTTCTTCCTGTTAAAAGGGAGTTTTTCCTTCCCACTGTCGCCAAAGTGCTTGCTCATAGGGGGTCATATGATTGTTGGGTTTTTCTCTGTATCTATGAAGCGCCTTGAGGCGACTTTTGTTGTGATTTGGCGCTATATAAATAAAATTGAATTGAATTGAATTGATCAACAGATCCTGATCATTTAACCAGGGCGCAACTGGTGCTATCAGTTACCGTGGTTACCAGTATCTGAAGCTCTATTGTTGCATTCCAACGAGAAAATATCTGAATGGCAAATCAGCAACAGAGGAAACGCTGCCTGCAGCTCACCTGTCCGCCGCTGTTGTCTGTACGAAATTGGTACTGCACATTGTGGTCAGCAAATGCAGTCTGAGGGACACCGGTGATGGTCACTGCAGTCTGCTCGTCCGTCCCCACAGCTTCCCCTGCAACACACACACCACCACGTATCAGACCTCGAACCCTAAACAAGCGCAGGGCCGTGTAACGCAGGTCCACGCCTTTTGGCTTAACAGCAAGCCGGTTTTGTTTTTCTGCATACGCAAAAAATCTGCCACTGTCCAAACAGGTTTTGGCCTCGTCCGAACAATTGACTTGTTACTTTCCAAGTGGAGCTTCGTGTACTCACAGTACTCGTGTCCTCACTACCATAAAATTCATTTTTAGTCATTAAATTCCAAGAAATAACAAAACAATATCCACAGTTTTGTTGAATTAACTATATCCAACTCAATCTTCCTTGTGTGGAGAGTCCAAAAAAGGCATTTTGAACCTGGAAAAACTCTATAAAGTCTCACTTTTAAGTGTGTTTTTGTGCCACAAAAAGAATCTGATATTTGTTTCAGTCATGTAGATTACAAGAACAGATGCTCCTACCTTCCTGTAGCTGCACCACCTCCTCTGTTTCCTGTTTGTCGTGACTAAAAACAAAAACAGAGCAGAGCTGAGTCAATTTCAAGTATTTCTCTGAAATAAGATCATTAACGTTTTCTGAATAAAAAACCAGCTCTCCTGAACCAACGGAGGAAATACGGCGCCCCCGGGTGGTTATATAAGGGAATAATCATTAAGATATAAATAAAATGAAACATTACTGGCGTCTAACACTTAAAATCAGTTTATCTGCACTTAAAAGGGGGAAATAAGAATTATCTAAGACCTAGAAGTCTAGTCTAACTGCTCTGACCAGTTGCGCACGGAAAGGCAAACTTCACAAATATACATAATACTCCAAACAACGCCCTAATGTGGTTGGATTTAAGAGTTTTAAACCTTAGAGATGCTGCATCAGTTACAGTAGCAGTGAAGTGCGTTTACTTGTTAGCCTAAAAACAGTCGCAAACTGCAGCTGTGCACTTGTTTTTATTGTGCATTGGATAAAACAAGCGCACAGATTTGGAAAAGGGCGCACAGCTAATGTGTGCAGAAATCCTCTGAGCAAAGTGCGCAGACAGTGCGGGACAACACGAAACAAATATTAAAAGTATACTGAGAAGGCAGGTTATTAACTGCACTGCGCTGCAGGGAGCAGGGGGAAAACAGAGGGGTTTATAGGCCGTGGTGGAGCCATGTCTGAGCAGGAAGCGGGCAGCAGCTTCTCACCTCGCCGAGCTGTCCAGACTTTGCTCCAGCATATCCATGAAGCTTTTGCGGGTGTAAAACGCCGATATTCAACGACACCGAATTACGGAGATGGAAGCGCTGATCACGGGGACAAACACACGGGTCATGTGAGGAAGACAGTCCAGGACACGTGAGGCGCCGACCGGGCAAGGAGCTAAAATGGAGGCCGCTGAGGAGCAGGACGGAGCTGTCTGCGTCTGTGCGGAAAAGTAGAGAAAAAAAAAGAAAAAAAAGAGTCCGGGTGTTTCCGCAGCGGTGCCGAGGCGGTGGAGGGAGGCTGAGCCCTGGATTATGATCGTTATTGTGTTATAAATTCTGATCGGAATGCACGGATTGAGGCTGGTTTGCGGTTAAATTGATTTCTTTATGTCCTCCGTGTCCTCTGTTTGCGCACAGCTGCTGTTTGTCCGCGCAAAGCGGCTGCGACATGCGCTCCAGAAGACACGGAGTGGATTAGTTTGTTCGTTTTTTCAGGAAGAAAATGCGTCTTTTTTTGCTCTAAATGTCGCTTTGTCTTTGTAAGATTTGGGAAGCTTGTATTCACGTGACTCCTGGTGTGCAAACAGTTTGGTTAGAGACGGATTTTCAAGGGATTTGTTTGGTTAATTCTCTATTAAAAACTATTTACTCGTGAATTATTTGACTTTGGATTTAATAGCGCGGTAAATATTGTCGCTGAGAGTTGTTTTTTGTGCTCGTTTTTCTCTCCCAATCAATCAGTTCCTCAATGGGATTTTTTTTTTTTGGGTCTCTTTTGCCCAGGTGACCACGGAGATCCAATACGGGTTTTCTCACAAACCACATGACAAAAACTGTCTACATAACAAGGCACAGCCGAAACTCGCATGGTTTTAACGCATCGGGCAGCTATGGTGACCATTTCACTTGAAATTCAGACCCAGTTTGTACATCGCTGAGCTGCTAAATGAGTGAAAAAGACAAATAAACCGGATTCTTGTTTCTTTACAGCCAACCTTCCCATTAATTTCTGACAGTAGGAGGCGATGCTGAGTGTCAGCGGCAGGAGGCACGACGTCTTCCACAGCTGATCTGCGCAACTGAGATCAGCAGATTTTCTTTTACAGTCTATTTAATTCACAAATAAATGCACCTTTATCATACGCAGAATCTCTGAAGCTGTCTATAAAATAAAGCACGAACATACTGAAGCTTGTAAGGCCTCACAAAGCACATCACATTTATTTAAGAACATGTTTTACACATTAGGCCCCTGTTTGTTTGTTTTTTAAATACTTGGTAATTTTACCCCAGATATCCATAAATCCTTTGATTGAAACAATATTCATTGCCGTTTAATTTACTCGCATAAAGGCTTTAACAGTGTGTCCAAAAGTCCAAGTTAAGTCATAATTCGTAGTGTTTAATAATAATAATAATAAATTTTATTTATGAGCGCCTTTCAAGTCACCCAAGGACACTTTACAATAGGATAAAACACTTAGTAAAACAATGGCAGAATAAGAACAATAAAATAAAAGCACAAAATAAAATTAACAAACAGTGGATTCACAGTGAATATGCAGATTTGAACAGATAAGTTTTGAGTTGGGATTTAAACTGTGGGAGAGAACCAGTGTTTTTTATTTCTGGGGGCAGAGCAGCTGAAAGCTCTGCTTCCCATAGTGGTGAGGCGGAAGGAAGGTACAGCAAGCTGGATAGAAGAAGAAGAACGAAGTGAATGTGCAGAACAGGTGGTGGTTAACAGATCAGAAAGGTAAGGAGGAGCGAGGCTATGAATGGCCTTGAAGGTGAAGAAGTTTGAAAATTATCTGGAATTTCACAGGGAGCCAGTGAAGTTTTTGAAGAAAAGGGGTGATGTGCTGGTAGGTGGGGGTTCTGGTGATAATGTGAGCAGCAGAGTTCTGAACCAGTTGAAGCTTATGGAGGGATTTTTGGGGGAGACCATGCAAAAGAGAATTGCAGTAGTCAATAAGGGAGGTAACAAGACTATGGACAAGAATGGAAGTAGACTGGGTGGAAAGAGAAGGAAGCAATCTGTTAATGTTACGTAGATGGAAGTAGGCAGAACGGGTGAGATTATTGATGTGAGACTTATAGGAAAGTGAACTGTCTAGGATGACACCAAGGCTCTTAACCTGAGGAGAAGGGAAAACTGGAGTTATCGATGGTGAATGAGAAATGGTTTGCCTTCAAAAGGTTGGATTTGGTGCCAATAAACTGTCTGCCATTTATTACATGTCAGTTTTTAGAGCCAGCCCAAAGGGAAAAATGAATTTTTGCAAGCATAGCTTTAACCCTTTAAAATCCACTATTAAAATGACCACTTCTAGCTTGTGTTACAGGTTATATATGGGATAAAAGTGCATATGAAAAAAAAAAACCTACATACGCACTCATCGGCCACTTTATTAAGTACATCTAGTACATCTAGTGGTGACTGTGAAGGTTATGTTATGTTATGCTGCTGGAGGCAGTCATCCTAAGATTGGTACACACTGGTTATAAAAGGCTGAACATGGTAAGATTGTGCATTTAAAATGTGCATTTAAAAATGCTTAATTGGTGCCAAGAGGGCCAAAGCGTGCCCAGAAAATATCCACCACGCAATTACACCATCAACAGCAATCTGAAGACATTTTCTCCCAGAGAAAAATACAACTCACGGGATATTTTCGGTTTTCCAAAAACCCCAGAGATGGTTGTGTGGTAAAATCCAAATAAATCAGTAGTTTCTAGAATACTCAGACCAGGTTTGCACCATAAGGGCGTCCAAAGAAAAAGACAAACATTTGTTGCTCATTCTGATGCTCAGTTTGAACTTCAGTAAGTTGTTTCACATTGCTTAAATGAGTTTTCATCATGCGATTGGCTGATAAGAAATTTGCATTAACAAGCAGTCAAACAAGTGTTCCTAATAAAATGACCAGTTAGTATATAATCTCCATCAGCTTGTTCATCAGTTTATGAGATTTAGTAAAATGCTTCAGCCTCAGTGTCTTTGTAGTCACTCCAGCTGTCCAGCCATTCATTTTCCTAGTCAAATTTTGGTCTCAGGCAAGGCAGACTGACCTGGCTGATAGGAGAGAGGCGAGATGGAAGCGCCTATAGAGGAGCATGTCTGTGGTTCCGAGTGTGGGAGGAGACTGGAGCACACAGGGAGAACCTGTAAAGTCCACAGAGAAACACTCCAGCCGACCAGGAGGTGAGTGCTAACATCTGCACCACTGCGTAGTCCTCTCATCCTGCCACTGAAAGACAATGTATCATCTGTATCTGTAACACTGTATCTTGTATCTTCTCATACATATTATATGTATGATGTTTAATGATGTTTAGTGGGCTAAAATCAGAATAATTAAAGGTCTACGAAAGAAAACCAGAGCAAACCTTTGGTACTGTTTTTGTTTTATGACTCGGAATCTCTTAGTTAAGGCTGTCCAAAGAAATACATTTCTGGCCATTTAGGTATTTAAACCAAAGGCTAAGTAGGAAATTTGTGTAAGAGCTTAAAAAAAGATGTTGCGTAAATGCATCCTTACAGGATGTGAAGACTCCAGCTCTGTGGGGTTCTTTTGGGGTTAAAACTTTTGCAGAGTTTTTACAAAACGACTACAATTCCAAGTCTCAGCCAACAGATCTGCTTAAAATTATCCCTCATAGGCATCACATGGCTTTGTGCAGAGGGTGACTCATTTATTCAGACTGTACACCCATTACAGTGAGGCAGAGAGAGAGAGACAGAGGGAGGGAGGAACAGCCACCTAACAAGTGCCAAACTTGAGGCCAACCTCTCCTCCCATCTCATTCTTTCCTACATGGGCACTCTGATGGGTTTGCAGACAGCTCAGTTTGCAGACTGAAGAGAGAACCAAGACGAACACTGGGATCACGTAAGGAAATCGTCAAACTACTCTGCAAAGATCTCCAGAGATTTCTCATCCTCTAACAAACTTTAAAAAGGTAAATCGAATTTTATAAGTTAGCATCTTTTGGGCAGGGACATCACTTTAATTTTTGGGTGGAGTTGTTAACCCCACCCATGTCTTTTGATTAATTGTGCTTTGTCGTTTGTGTGCTTAATGTTAGGGGATTAAAAAGAGCCGGATGTCTTTGGAAGTAATCAATATGTTCCAGTGAATTAAGCTTTTTTTTTCTTTTTAACTTTGAACTTTGAGCCAAAATGTTGCCTCATTTTTGTGTGTTTCAATGAATATTTCTTGGGCATATTTCTTTCATCTTATTTGTGACACATGTTCCACGTCGACTGTCGGCTCAAACTGAAGGGTGTGCATTTGCACTTGAATAAAACCTGCTCAAATTGACTCTTTAGACTCAAATGAATATAATCATATCTGTTTTGACAGCAAAATAAGAAAGTTGCAATGGCGACACCCAAAAACACTCCACGAGGTGCAAACACGCCACTTTCTCCCAACCGGATCACCCGTCTCCAGGAAAAGGAGGACCTCTGCAACCTCAACGATCGACTGGCCGTCTACATCGACAAGGTCCGCTCTCTGGAGGCTGAGAACGCCGGGCTGCGTCTGCGCATCACCGAGTCGGAGACAGAGGTCAGCCGGGAGCTGACGGGTCTTAAGGCCGCCTATGAGACGGAGCTGGCAGATGCTCGCCAGACGCTGGACTCGGTGGCCAAAGAGCGAGCACGGCTGCAGCTGGAGCTGGGCAAGCTGCGAGAGGACCACAAGGAGCTGAA